ACTGTTTTCTAACGAGGTTAGTGCAGATATACGGGATAATCAAGAAAATGGAAGGATGAACCTGACAGCATTCGAACTTTAGGGCCCTCCTACAACAGTCCCAGAGCTCTAAGATTGCAAAATGATTTCAGTGAATGAGCCCCAGGCAGCCTCCATGGGATTGCAGCCCAGAACCCACTTTGGGTCTCCTCTACCAAACTCCAGTGCAGTGCTCCTTGGCTACCCTAGCTGTGGCTCAGATGGGTCCAGGTGCAGCTTGACCCACTTCTCTAGAAGATACAAACTGTAACCTTTTGTGGTCCATATGGTGCTAATTCTGCAGGTGCACAGATGCAAGAGCTGTAGGCTCATGGCTTCCTCCACTTAGATTTCAAATGATGTCATGGACAGTCTGGGGCTGAGGCAGAAACATGCCCATGGGGCAATGTCTAGTGGGGCCCTAGAGGTGGGGCCACTATTGAGACCCCATAACTATAGAGCTACCGGTGTGGAACTCCAGCCTGGGAGAGTTGCAGGCATAAGACTCCTAATAGAGAGAGCTTTGACATAGCTTGCACCCAGCGAAGTCATGGGAGAGGGACTGCCTTAGGCAGGATGGCCAGTGTTTTATATCTAACAGGAAAAATTAAATATTGGAGACAGTGGAATAGCTCTGCCATAATGATTAAAGAAACTATGGCCTTAGAGTGTCAGGGTATGATGACCATCTCTATGGAAGCACTTGTTGCTTGAGCAGCCCTAGATTTTGTACTTCACCCTGACTTTTTGTCAGGGTGACAAATTTATACCACAAATTTGTGGTATAAAAACACAAAATTACAAACCAAAAGCAATCCCTGTTGTCAAAATCTAAATTTATAAAATAGTAAGTATCCCCACATGTCTTTACTCTAATCTATTCTTAATTATTGGAAAAGCAAACCATGGTAAATTCGCATGAATAACAGCCCTGTCTGTGTTTGACCTAGTCCATCTTACTAGAGCCATTACTGCAACTAAATGTAACCTCTCAGAGTCAACCTGTACATACCAAATTGTGTACCCCTGTAATGGGATCTGCACTTGTTAGAGAATGAACTCACTTACCAGGAATGACTTCTACCTGCCATTTTTCTTTAAGCACTTAAGTTAGCAAGAGTCACCTGCTGTAGACAAATTCCTATTTTGCCTGTAGCAAATAATTTTACTCCCGTATTGTACCCTTAATAGTCTTCTACTGTTCCCTCTTTGTTGACATATTTTACTATTATATTTCTTTTCATTTAAAATTTAGTTTGCTCCTACTCTACAGTAGAAGAAGCTTATGTCTTCCATATAATTCATCCTTCATGGACTGTTTAGAGTCATTTGTGGCCCCATAGCTGGTTTGACATTAGAGGTACTAGACCACTGCTTCTCCCGGCTCCTCCAGTTTAGGTGATCCCATTGACCTAGGATCAGGAGACGTGACTTCTGGGAGAAAACCAATTTATTATCTATATATGTATCATCCATCCAAACAATCAAGGAGTTTGAATGGTTAACTTACAAATAAAACAGCAAATTCATTTTCTATTAACATTTCAAGAATTTCCCACGAAGAAAAACAGTGAAGGTACAAATTACTGGACCAGTCATTCCACTGACTCAATATCCTCAACTCCGTTCATGTATGTTTTAAAACAATACCATGAAAACCAATAGTCCTTATTTGTAAAGGAGAGTAAAAGGACAAAAAAAAGAGGAATAAAGAGTTTTGTAAATTCTCATTATGACAATCTCATTCTTATAAGCCTTTGTATAAACTATAGATAGAAATATGAAAATTTCCCAATAATATAATTCCACATAATAAAACAATTTGATAAAAATGTCTATGAATAGAGTATTAGTTTTCTCCTCAAAATAGGGAATAAAATTAAAAGATTTAACTGTATCCATCTATATTGCAAAGAGCAAAACTTGGAGACCTATCTTTAGCATACAACAGCAAATAGCAATTTCTTACTATTTTTTAAATTATAGTGTCTTGAACATTAGGAGTTTTGGATCCATATCTCCAAGGAACTATCCAAGTTATTATATAAGAAACAATAATTAAAATTCTAAAACTATCTCAACAGCAGGATAAGTGAAGGACTGTTGATGGGAAGAATAATTCTTAAAAGTGAGACCAAAATTATTGATCATGATATGATCTATCTCCTGCTTTCACCTGGGTTCTGTCCCCTTTCATTCACACATTGACAATTATGCAGCTCAGCAAAATATTGTTGGTTTGAATCATATAAAATTTTAGTCATTCACTTTCTTTATTGTCATGGAACTGTTCTAAAAGGCACCAGTTCTCAGGATAGATGATCACAGCAATGCATGTCCCATCTGACAGTTTCAAATACCAGATAACTCAAAGAATAAATCATTTGTCAGTGTCTGGGAGAATAAGTACAAGTAGAGATCATTGCTGAAGTGGAAGATGAACCTCAAAGCCAGACGTTTCTGGAATTATACCTTTGCTATACCACTTTAAGTGACCTTGGACAAGTAACAGACTTCTGAGCCTCAATGTCCTCATCTGTAAAGTAGGGAAGCTATTATCTTACACTGTGGTTGAGATGATCTCAGGTAATATAAGGATAACTCTCTGCCCCATGCCTGTTGCATATGAAGCACACAAAACATATTCACATTATTTGTGAACTTATATCTCTAAACAGTTTACAAGTATGATCTTACCACCTCAATAAGATTGTGAGCAATAGCATCCTTATTTTGAAGAATAAAAATATGCATATGTGAAATAAATATTAGATTAAGTTATTTGACTATATTTAAATACTAACAAGCCAAAGAACATGGATGCCGACCTAGATTAAACAATCTAAAATATATACTTCCTCTGTTTAGTCTGGAAAATTATGGATAGAATAGTGTTCAGGCAAAGTTTTTGTTTGTTTGTTTGTTTGTTTGTTTTTTCATCTGCATCCTTCAGTGCCCAAGTATCAAGAACACCGGAGTTTCTTTTCATGCGTATGGAGAAAGTCTATTACATGAACTTGGCACTAGGAAATTTTGCTTTAATATACAATAGCTCAAGAAAATGGAAACTGGAAAGGAAGAAAGTGTGTGTGTGTGTCAGATAGGGACACAGTGAGAAATACAGAAGAGAAACAGAAATGAGTGTGCGGCTTTTATGGTCAGATGTTAGAAATGCTTAAATATGATTAAGCTGATACATGTAGAAATAAATGTAATGATACCATTTACTTGAAAAATATTTTACAGAAATACCTTGAAGTTCAAGGGAAAAATTGCTGTAGCTCTGCCAAAGAATCTAGACTCAAAGACTCTGAGTCAGAAGAGACCATGGAGACCAGAGACTATATCCCTAAAAGTAACTAAGTGACAAAAAGTGACTAGTCCAAGGTCTTCTGCCAATTCATTTGAAATTTGGAAACTCAAACTAGGAACCACTGACCTTGATATTATCATTCTTCATGGAACACTAAACTAACTCTTCGAAAGAATAAATAGGAAAGCTTTTATCTCTTGGATAAAAAGAGGTAATATAGATAATCCGAATTCATCTGCCAAGAGACTACAGGTATTAATGCTTTCAGACACACTTTGACATTTTTTAGTAGTAAGCAACTAATTTAGCATATCAAGTGTTCCCCAAAATGGCAAATAAATGTTTTTATTGCCAAAAGAAATTACTTTTAACTCATCCCAGAAAGAACCTTATGTACCTTAGATTTGAAAGTCTTTAGATATTTCAAATTTTGCAACTATAGCCACAGTTATATTATAATTGAATCTAAATTACCAATTTGTTTACATATGTACATGATTTTAAAGGATTGTTTGTGATATACATGTACATTGTAGAAATGAGTTTAAAGTATTTCTAGTTCCTCTTGAAAAAAATAAAAATTCAATAGTGGACAAAGAATTTTTTTCTCATATGGTATTAATCTTTTTTTTATATTTTCATTTTTACAGTTAAAATCTTAGTTACTGAAATGTATGAATTACATTTCTTTAGCTATGCATTTTTTGCAATAAAACTTATTATTTATTTATGTATTTATTTGGAGATATTTTTGGTCCAAGGACATAGACTTTAATGAAGTAAGTTATAAATTATAGCTTCATATTTATGCTTCATGAAATTAGGTACAAGAGAGACATCAAATTATGTTACTATTGTTAAGACAGCAAATGTTACTGTTGACAACAAATAGTCTATCTTAAATATCTGATTGCTTTCAAGTGCAAATTTAACTAGAATATGTAGGTACTGTATCTTAGTCACATATCTGCCAAATATTCCACATGGATAACAATTTAACTTATTAAATGGAACCTGGAGGTTAAGATGAAACATTCCAAATACATGGCTCCAGTAATTCTCCTATTCTTAGTTAGATTGAAGACACCACAGGGGGATCTGTGCACAGTTGGAACACTGCCAACTGTAGAGTTGGAATCTATAAAAGACACTTACCATGTTGTCTCTTAAGAAACACTAAAAAAATAAAAAATAAATAAAAAATTATTACAAATAATAACACTGCTATTTTAAAGGCAGTAGTATCTGAACAGATCCAACACCACAGAATGAAAAAAATCTTAAATAATAACAATCTCATAACTGTTAGTGAGACCACTATTTTTATGTTCTCATGTTAGAAAACTAAACTAAACATTTTGTTATTTGTTCTGGCTGAAATTTGTTTTTAAATGGACAGATAAACATTTCCTAAATTCATCTATGGTACTTTTGAATCAGACAAATCTTTTGGTTCCAACTCAATCTTTGAACAATTTGAATTAATGCACCTATGAATTTTGGCACACATCAGCTTTTCAATTAATTACTTTATTCTCTTAAATTAATCTTCATCACTTATATTATGAGGAATGGGTCAGTCTACTTTGTTTTTTCCCAATTCACATTACTTTTTTTTTTTTTTTTTCCTTTTCAACCCACCAAACTTCTTTAGTTTCTTTAGCTGAATGGTCTTATGTACTGGCTAATAACCTGTCTCCAACCAAGTAATAGAAGACAACATTAACTCAAGTTTTATTTTATTTTGTTAAATATATTCTGTTGATCACTTTGCTCATGGCTTCTTTCACATCCTTGTTCCTCAGACTGTAGATCATTGGATTCAGCATGGGGATCACTGTGGTGTAGAACACAGCCACCATCTTCCCCTGCTCCACGGACTCCTCTGTGGGACGTCGGAGATACATGAAGATCAGAGTACCGTAAAATATGATGACAGCTGTCAGATGGGACCCACAGGTGGAAAAGGCCTTCTGTCTCCCTTCCGCTGAGCGCATTCGGAGAATAGCAACGAGAATGAATAAATACGAGATGATAATTACAGTCAAGGAATACGTGAAGTTAATGCCAGCCAGTATGATCATCGTATATTCTTTTACGAAGGTCCCAGCACAGGCCATCTTGATGAGAGGTGGGTCTGCGCAGTAGAAGTGGTTGATCTCAATTTTCCCACAGAAGTACAAGCCGTAAGTCCACAATGTTGCTGCCAGACTAGTCAGGAATCCATATATGTAAGGGAAAGAAATCAGTCGCATGCAGACAACCCTTGACATTTTGCTGCCATAGAGCAGAGGGTTCCCAATCGCCATGTATCTGTCAAAGGCCATCACAGCAAGAATAAAAATTTCTACATGGACAAGAGCAATGAAAAAGAAACACTGCACTAAACATCCAGCGTAAGAAATCGTTTTTGTCTCTGATAACAAGTTTTCCAACATTTTAGGGGTGACATTGGAAGAAAACCACACATCGACAAATGACAAATGGCTGAGGAAAAAGTACATGGGGCTGTTAAGCTGTGGACTGATCTTAATTAACATGATCACGCCAATATTGCCCACCATGGTGATAATGTAGACCAGAAGAAAAATGATGAAGAAGAGAACTTGCAATTCCCGACGACTGGTTAGTCCCAAAAGAATAAATTCTGTCACATCAGTGAAATTGAGCATTTTCTGAATTCTAAGACAATATGAGCTACAAATCTCTGTGATGACTAAAATAAAATAAATAAAAATGAATTAAGTATTAATTTATTAATAATATTAATTATTAATTTGTTGATAATATTAATTTATTGATTTATATCTTTATTAATTTATATCTTTATCTATGCCCCCTTCCCTTGTCTCCTTTTATGATCACATTTTGCCATTATTTTCAACAAATCTTCTCTGAGCACCTGCTGTGTAACAGGCTCTCTGAAAGTTACCATGATAAGTAGATTCTATTATAGAGCAGTTATGCAAAGCTTGGTGATTGAAATGTGCTAGTATTAAGTATTGTGAGTAGTCACAATCTCAAGACTATTTCTTCAATATCCCTTGTTTCCAATGTTGGTGTATTTGGTAGCTTTATATTTTTAAGATAATTATTAGGAATCATAGTTCTCTTTTTAACAGAACTCAAAAATTTGAGATTAGTTTTGTCTTTTATCTCTTTTTTCGGTATAAGCATATTCCACATTATTAGAAATGAAAGCCACTTAATGACCAAATTCATCAGATAAAAATATTTTAGTCCATGTCATACTCACATTCTTTTAAATTACAGAACAACAAACTGATTACAGTAGCCATCGAAATCAAGTTAAAAGGTGAACCATGTTCATACGTTATGCACATTTCCTGGATATGGACTCCCTTCCAAACCTAACAGGCAATTATAATCCAATAGGTATCATCTACTGCTGTGTTCTGGAGATTCAAAAATGAGTAAAAGAAAAGATTAATGGCAATATTTATGGAGGTGTTGATGTAAATAAATAATTTCTAGAACTAGTATATATTGTTTTAGAGTTATAATGGGAGCAGAAATAGGAAAAATGATTGATTCTTCTTTGGAGATCCAGTGGAATTCCAGGAAGTTTTCTTGGATATTTTGCAAATTTATTCTCAAATGTATGAGTATCATATGAGACTTCTTCCAGACAATGTTTTATAAATTATATTCCCAAGAAAACACTAATTCCTTGCATAGTGTTAATAGATATTATTGAGACAAATCTAAAAGTATTTCCCCATCAAATAATAATAATATAAAAGATACCATTATTATCAATGAAGATTCATGTCCTGTAGAATACAGAGTGCAAGTCCATCCAATAGAAATCTTGGGATGGCTTCTCAGCAGGACAATGAATTTGTTGAAGATGGAATTATACCATACCTTCTGGTGGCTAGGTATCACCTCTAGAGAATGATTATTCCTAAAACCCTTCTTTTAACCTACGGGATTACACTTTACTCAATCACAATTTGATGGAAGCTATCCATAATTATCACTGGTTATCAGTCACCAGAAAAATAATAGAGGAGGAAAAAAAATAAGCCTCATTGCATAGTGAAAATAAATGAACTCTTTATCCACAAAAATAATTCAAAACTTTTCAACAGACAAACTTGGAAAGAAAATTTTTTTATGGATAGAGAAGAAAGCAACCATCATAGTAGATTAGATCAACTCTACAAGACTCCAAAGCCTAGTGCTAATTAAGAAAAATTTGAAGCACTAAGAAAAGAGTAATAGTTGAAGTTGTCTAAAAATTGTATAAACTGCTTTAGAATATACTTATGTGTAGGCTGTGAAATCTATTACAAAGTTGTCAAACTCATCTAGAAGACTCTTAGATTCATATGTGAGCAGAGATTACAAATATGTCAACAGATCATACCTGATTTCTCATTCAATAGTATATATCTGTGGCTGCCAGAGCTTTTCACCTCTATGCGATTTTCAAAGATTAGAAATAGAGGAATTCTTAATTGGAAAGCCAGATCTAATTGCCTAGTACTAAGGATGAAACAGCACTAGTAAGAATACAGGAGATGACATTGTTAGTATGTCAAAAGCTAAATACAAGAAAACTTGAGCAGTGGTGAACCAGGTGATGGATCACAATAGCAAAACTATGGGAAAACTAAAGTGGGTAGATATGATCCTAGGGGGTGCACGGTCTGCAAAGAAGTAGAGTATTTGGGAGCTCCCAAGTATTTACAAGATTTCCTCACCATCCAAATTCAAAAATATATGCATACCCTTCCCTTATTTTATCACTCTATTTCAACTTAAATTACCAATAAATGTGGATTTTCCCCAATACCAAGTATGAAGCAGTATTAAATATCCCAGTTAAAGGGTTCTGTTTCTATATCAGACATTGGTGGAATGCCAGCTCCATGACTGATTTTTATAAACTTGGGCATGTTTACTTCTTGTTTTGTTTTGTGTTTAATTTCTCTTTTCCTCAATATGACTTAATGATAATAATATTCATTTCATTATGTATTTGTGAGTATGAAAAGAGAAATACATTAATACATAATAAATATGCCAGGAATAATTGTGAAATGCATTCCATTAATCATTCATAATAATCAAATAATCTAATCTTTATTGAAAATATATCTCTTCTGTGTCTCTCTCTTTCTCTCAAACACAGCGTAATGTATGAAACCGTTAATGCATCCCTATAAAGAATAAAAGAAAATAAATCTATGATGCAAGCTTTATCTGACAGTTTCAGGTAGATGCATTTTTCACCTACCTGAGAATGAAGACAAGTATTCCCAGTAAGGAAGTGGAGTTGAAAAGTGAACGTTATATGAAGGAATTTTTTTAACAACAATTCCCAGATAAAGAGAAACTGGGCGTTCACAAGAGAAGCCTCTCTTAAATGTGTGCCTTGAAAAACAAGAAGCAATTAAGAATATTCTCCTAAAAATGACCCTTGGGGAAGTATGTCTCTAGAGAAAGTGCCAACTGTTGAGTGTGTATTTTTTTTTATAACAGTTTTGTGCAATTTTTTTTCTGAACCTTTATTTCTGCCCTGCCTTATTTTATTTTTTTTATTTCATTTTATTTTATTTTTTATTTCAGGATATTGTGAGGGTACAAACATTTTGGTTACATTTTATATCATTGCCTCTCCCAAGGGGAGGTTAGAGGCCTGCCCTTCCCCCCCACAATGCTCACCGTGTCCTATTGTCCTGAGTTTACCCTCCCAATCCCCCATCCCTGGAGAATATTATTACCACGTGAGCACCAATTAATCAGTAGTACCAATTTGATGGTGAGTACAACTGGAACCTATTCTTATTTTCCCACAAGTTCTAGTTATTTTGAATGCGTCCTGGGGTCGAATAAAATTTTGGAGGTTTGTATCATATTAAACCTGTTGATGGAGTTTTCAACCTGTGTATACCAATTCTATGTTCTATATTTCACATTCCAGGCCGCTTGAATTTTCCAGTGAAAGAGGAATCAAGTATTATTTCCTGCAATTAAAATTATAGTATATCAAAGCAGAAAAAAATAACTTTTTCAACTGCCTCATTTTATAAATAAGGAATATACTACTTGTAATAGTAACAGGAAAAAATAATGTGTTTATTGAAGTAAACACATACCAAATGCTATGCTAGTTTAATTTAATTCTTGTAATTCAACCCTGAGGCAATTATTACTCCCATTTTATAGGCAAGAACCTGAGTCTTTTTTTCTCTTCCTCTCTCCCTCCTTTCTTCTCTTCCCCAGCCTCTGGTAATCACCCATGTAGTCTCTATTTTCATGACGTCCTCTTTTTTTTAGTTCCCATATATGAGTTAAAAACATTTATCTTTCTATGCTTGACTTATTTCACTTAACATAATGGCCTTTAGTTCCATCTACGTTGCTATAAACTACAGAATTTCATTATTTTTTAAAGTTTAATAATATTCCATCATGTGTATATACCACACTTTTTTTATCCATTCATGCGTTGATGGGTGCTTATGGTGATTCAATATTTTGGCTATTGTGAATAGTGCTGCAATAAATGTAAGAGTGCAGTTGTCTCTTTTTGACATATTGATTTCCTGTCTTTTGGCTATCTATCTTGCAGTGTTATTCCTGAGTGATACGGTAGCACTATTTTAAGTTTTTTAAGGAACCATCATAGCATTCTCCATAGTGGCTGTACTATTAATAATTTACGTTTTAACCAACAGTGTATGAGGGTTCCCCTTTCTCCACATTCTTGCCAGCATATGTTATTAACTGTCGTTTGATGTAAGCCATTTCAACTGTGATGGGATGCTATTATTGCACTGTGGTTCTGATTTGATTTGCATCACACTAATTATCAGAGAAATGCAAATCAAATCCCATCTGCCTTTATTCTAATAAATTGGCAAGTGACACTAAGCTAGACAAATTTTCAATCTGCCTGTAGCAAGTATGGAATGCAGAACAGGTAGTATGTGGATATACCAATCTACATGAATTATCTGATGAGCTCTTCAGGAAATTTAACCAGGTCAAAAGGAGATACCATTTTAAACTGTATTGATCACATCTGAGTACATGGCCAGTACAAAGGTGTTTATTTGACCAGTGAGCTTCTTATCTGGTTAATTCACTCTAGATATGGAAATGTTGATTTAAGCTGTTTCTTAATGAGAAGCTGGGAGCAAACAACAGTTTCAAATCATATTATCAATCAATCATTTAATAACACAATATCCTGTTGCTAAAGCTCTGACATAAATATCAGAAAATTTATACTGGTTTATCTTTTGATTATGATGAAAGCAGAAAAACCTTTTGTCAGAGATATTTATCCCTTTTAACATCAATTTATACCAGAATTCAAACCAAGAAGTAGAGTTAGGGTAAAAAAGTTATTAGACACAACCTTGACTATTAACAATACATACTGAGGACAAATTTAAGATTATATTAAAACACTAGCGGAATACCATTTCATTTTCAAAATCCATTTACATATGAATACCTTTAAACAATTTTTAGATAAAATGGGATTGATCAACATTCTGGAATCATGGAAAACAAATGAATTTTACTCTTTTTGCTAAAAATATATATTTATATGAAAGCCAGGTTGATAAGTATGTATATATAGAAAATACCTTAGGAAATAATGTTCAACTCTAAGAAGGGTATCCAAATTATTATTGGTGTTTTCTTTCAATAACTACACTTAGC